AAGGTCAAAACAGCCATCACAGCCTCCCCTTCTCTATGTGTATGTGATATTGATATAGGTACAAGAGGGATGGGATTTGGATATAGCTGAAATAATTCTAAATTATGTTTTTTTTTTCACCAAAAATCTGCCACCCTGAATAAAATAAGACAATGTTAACAACTAGCAGTTAAAGACAATCTTGTATTTATTGCACAAAGTTCCCCTAAAACTGGGAAGTTATTATAATACAAGTGCACATCTTCAGATATGTATGTACATTTGTGTATGTATGTATGTGTATATATATATACACACACACACATATATATATATATATGTATATATATATATATTACAGAAAAACACAAAAGATAACAATTATGTACATTTTATCCAGCATATAACACATACCACCATTTACATAATTTAGAGAAGACTGAAAACAAGACAATTAAAACCATTTTAAAAATATCTGTTTTAACTCATAGATTTTAAAAGGCTACATTGAAAAATCATGTTTCAGATTCCCATTTCCCTTTGTTTTTTTAACAACCTTGCATTTGCAAGTTATCAGTGGAAATAAATTTGTTAGCATTTATGTGCAATATACTTAAATATTTTCAGCCTTAAAATTAAGACATATTAATGGGCATTAGAAATATTGCAAAAATCAAGATTAGTCTTGTATATACATTGTTCTGAACAGCATGATATGAGGTCAATGCTACAGCGCTGTTATACTTCCCTTAGAAAAAGAATTAAAATCCAGATAGATCTATGCAGTACCTTGATATTTCATGTACCATATACAAGTTATCAGTCACAAGAAAGCATCCTCTCGTGCCATACTTTTTGCACAGTAACTATTCCCGTTATATAATTCGAATGAGTAACAAAATCATAAAAATAAACCAATTCAACCAAATGCTTGAAATTGAAGGATAATGTCTAATTATCTAAGGATTTTGGAGAAATTCACCAATGGTAACACTTATTACTTGAAGAAATTACCAAGGTTTCTTGTTAATCTGGTGTTTCTCAACCATGGCAGTTTGAAAAAGTATAGACTTCAACTTCCAAAATGGCAGGTGAATTCTGGGAGTTAAAGTCCACACGTCTTCAAGCTGCCAAGGTTGAGAAACATTGTCATTACAAGCCTTTAAAATTGCCAGTGAACATATAGTTCACTACTGCAGTGGAAAAACTTCCCATTTAGAGGCCCTGCTTAGAGTTCACCCAGGAAGCAGCTTCAATGGATGCCTCCAAATCACCATACACAATGCAGAAACAGAGAGGGAACAAATAAGCAAATTCTTTGCTTCAACAAGATTTCCTGCATTTCACAACATGAAAATATCATAGCAGGATATTTTAAATCCACATGTACTGTACAGAACGCCTCTGCAGCTAAGAACAGAAATCCTAAGAGGAACAGGAGAGTTGTAAGGCCAGGCAATAAAGCTGCAATCAACAGCTTAATTTCTTAATACCTCAGGAGGAAAACTAAGATGGAACATTGTTTCTAGCTTCAATTTAGAAATTAGAAGACAAATTGTTAAAGGCCAATCTATATGTGGCAAGCCTATCCTAGCTTTACATGGGAATCACACAGGACCACTTATATATATGCAAATGATTGCTTGTCTTCTACCATTTTTGAGTATTTACGACCTTCACTTTGGAATAATAGAGAAAAGAAAATTGACTGGAGATAACAAAAGCTTACGGTATAAACTGTTCTATCCTTTTGCAAAAAATGTAGTCACGGAATCTGGCATGAACCTGCAGTGTGGAAACCCCTGTGGGACTTAACATTTGAGTTAGAATTATGGCTTTCAGTAGTGCAGACTTTTATCAGCACGCCCAACACATTCATCACTTTTTTCAATGTGGAAATCCTTGAGACCTGCAGTTTCTTTACTAAACATGTTCAAGGTGATTGTCTGCAAGATATATTGGAGGTGAGGGATAGGAGACAGATTTATGTTCAAACTGGAATGCAAATCATTTCTCAATTGGGGAAGAACCATAGAAAATATCAATCAGGTATCCTGGACTATTGGAAAGCCCTTTCCCCTTTCATAGTTGTAGCTTCTGTTTTTAGGCAGACTTTAGATCCCATTGTTAAAAAATTCAATTGTAGCAAAATTATAACATAAACTCTAGCCACTTGATGAGAATCACCTAAAAACCTAACCACACCTAACCAATTTCTTTTAAAAATATATGAGAAACAGTTGAGCCCATGTTTGCTGTTCACTGGGGCTACCTTAATGACCGGTCCAAGCCTAATTAATTTTAACTACAATAGGCAAATCTATGTCCACTTAATTGCGTTAGTGCAGCCATTTGTGAGTGACATCTGTATTAAAATCAACCTGAGCTCTCAGTGTTCATATTGTGCAATGCTTCTTATCTTTCAATTTGTTCTGAAGAAAAACAATGGCCCAACGTTTTAAATGCTAAACCCACCCATTTGTATCTACCACTGCAAAGGCCCAGCAGACTGAATGCCAATTTATGATTACACTATTAGCTAATGTGCAGGTGTAGGGATGAATTTTTATACTAAAAAAGCCTCTTGCTAGAATTTTTAAATCTTTGGAAAGCTTAGGGGATGTGTAAATGTAACAGGTTACTGAAAGGGAAGGCCACATTTATCTGTGTGCTCCTATGGAAACTGAATATTGTTTTATATGGATTTCTATTCACTTCTTCGGTATGCTACTAGAACTGTTCCTTGACTGTCAAGCATTTGTAGCATAGAAGAATAGTCTGCACATATTATTGTGACGTGCTTTATAATAAACTCTGTTAAAATAATAAAAACTAAATTGTTATTCATTTTAACAAAGAGTTGTTTCTGTAATATTAGCCCCAATCCTGTCTATTGTGGCAAGCATTCAAATATAAGAAGTGGGGAAGCAGGCATCCTTAAACAAGTGATAAAGTTTTACTACAGAAGTTAGTTGTAGGCTCTGTCTAATTATTTTTTTAAAATTTTAATAGGCTTCACAGGCTACTGTGCAATAAAATACAGTAAATGATTATTCGTAAAGCTGCCCTACACCTTCTCCAGTTGAAATGGTTTTAAAGTTCTCAGATGAACCTAAAACGTAGGATGAGGTTTCCTCCTAATTATTATTGATGTCACAGACCTAATACAGTCATACTATATAGCAAGTGTTATCAAAATAGGGCCAGAATGATTGTTTACTATGGACAAGGGCAATGTAGATATACTTTGTGGTATGCTTTCCAGCAAAGGCAAGGAGAAACGACTCTAGCAATCTCCAAAAAGAAAAAAACTTAACAACTGAAAGGCTTCATGTGTGTATGAATTAAGAAAAAAATGTGTTTTGATTTCAACTGAATCAAAATATCACAGAATAAAGCAATTCACTATGTTGTTGATGCTTGACTAGATACAGGGGAAAGTATTAAATGTTTTTAATGCCATTTCCCCTTATTTAACTTGAGGTAGTAAAAATGATTCAAAATAATATCATCATCCTCAAATTAAAAACCACTACATCTTTTTGAACTACAACTCCCAAAAATCAAATGTTGGTTGAGAAGTCTTAGAATTATAGCTGCAAGACAACTAGAGGGCTCTTCAGATTGATTTACAATATATATGTTTATAACTTACAGGTCCCATACCAGAATTCTTTATTACTTAATCATGACAAAAATGATAGCATAGGATGAAAGGGGATGGCGCAATTGCCTTTTTCTTTTCCATTATTCCATCCATATTTCCAGATCTTCTCCCAAAGAGTGTAAGTGGGCACAGAGTGGTTGCCAGAGGCCACAATTGGATAGAACTTGTAAATCCCATTAAACTCCCTGGGATCTACTTCGAAGCAAACACGCATAGGATTAAATTATAAACCAGTTCTTAATAAACAGGTTAGAAAAGTGGTCTCATCAGAATAGCCTAATAATTAATACAATGCAATCAAATTGAGTTTTAAAGCTTAAAATTTGTCTGGATAGTTAAAGAATTATTTTCCAGCATTTTAACTCTGTATTATAGAAATTATATAATTTCTAAGGTATAAATTCTCAGAAAAATACACTGAAATTAATGGAACATCAATATGTAATAAAGCTCTTACAACATCTTCTTTTTTTTAAAAAAAAGGTTTAACAGCAATTAGTTTTTCTTTACAGCATCCCAAATGAAGCATGATCAAGGGGAAGAAATTCTTGTTAAAAAAACTAATAAAATATTATAGAACATTTGTTCAGCTTCTTCCTTTTTTATATAAAAAACAAGTATTTGTTTTCTGTAGTCTTTAAACAGTAGTATCAACATTAGAACATCAACAAACATGTCAATTTTGCACGCAAAGATATATTCATATATTCATATTCATTCATTCTCAATCAATATCAAGCATTCATACAAATATTACACCCAGGCCTTCTCCTATGGAAATTAATTGCACACTACCTTCCCAACTCCTACCTGCCATTAACAAATTAATTTCTACACTTCTAACACAGTTGAATTGGTTACAATCCTACCTGCCTTTAACAAATAAAGATTTTATTGTAGTTCTAATGAAGTTGAATTGGTTACAAAAAGAGCTTCACCATTATGCCTTGTAAATATACTATTAATTGGCTTCAAACATTAGCTGGTTCCAATCCCTTGTACAAGCATCAACAGCACTTTGCAGGCCACAAAAGAGTTCTTCATTCTGGTGATCCTGTAATTCAACAGTCTGCACTTACATCATTTTGGCAATCCTTGTCCAAACCATGTACAGTACTCCATGATCTAGTGTCGTCTTTAGTAATCTGAATCTGTGTTCTATTGGTTGGTTGGTTGATTTTTAAATGAATAGGCAAGGAAAGAAAGGGAACATGTTTGTACATTTATGTGTTCACTTGCAGAGGCACATTATCAAGCTGGCAGGTTGTTCAATTCACTTGCCAACAAGCAAGGAGTCTGGAAAATGGAAGTTCACATCTGTTTCCTTGTCTTCCGTTTTATAAAAATAAAATTATTGTCTTTGCCCTTTTGGGGTTTTAGAGAAGAATCTGGGCAACATATGGAGAGTGGGTGCTTGCTACAGCTGCCAATAAAGGGAGATCACTGGATTCAATCCTACAAGACAAAGAAATATCATCAACCACCACCGTGGCTTGAAAAGTTCTGAAGCTCATTATAATTTTCTCATGTAAAAGCACTTAATAGTTAGCTTATTAAAACATAAACAGCTTGTGTATATGAACTGTCAATTTTACTTTAAATATATTACAGCAACCTCTGTAATTGAAGAACGCCACCACTTATTTCATAAATACATATGATGGGACTGATGGTCACAAGAAGCAATTCCCCCAGGATCAGTCTGACAATAGATTTGCTTTGCTAAAGATTTAATTGTTTCAGCTGTCTTGGAAATCAAAAGTGGATGGATACAATTCAGAATATTCTCAAGCACACAATTTTTGATCAATGGGTTTAAATTTGGAGTGCTTTCTTAAAATTAGAGATGAATAAATAGGAATCAAAGAAAAGAAAATATATCCTTTGTATTGGCCTGATTTTATATGCTGCCTACAAATATAGCTTTAAGGACTGGTCTTATAGTACTACATAAGAACAACATATTGAGATATACCATACATACAAACTTTTGTCCTTCCCAAAATTACCCCTTAATTTACCAAGAGTCAGCTCTAATTGCTGCCTTTAGACAGATCTTTTTGTCTAAAGTTATCTTTGTTTCTCATAGGAGTTAATAGTCAAGCAGCTGATAATCCTGAAACCTATCTTTCCTTCTCCAAGTAGGTTATAATTTAAACTCTGCAACTCAGTACAGATGCTTTCCTAGTAAAATGTTCAGTGTGAAAGCAAATGAGATCCGAATTGCAGGTCAAGTCAGTAATGCTGTTCCTGACTACGAAACAATTGTTGCAAATAGCCCTACAAGTTGTGTATTCAAAATAAACAAGTATACAGGACCAAGAATTGGAGAGAAAGCATACCCCAGTACTACTCCCAGCTCCTTCACATGAACCCGCATTTGGCCTTTGAGATATTCCGACAACATTTTACTCTTAAAATACAGCTCCTGCAACCGATCTTCTAGGTGCATGATACACTAGGGACAAATGAAAAAAGAAACAATAATATCACAACAACATTGGCCGATAGTCTTTATTTTAGGCACATACACATCTCAATCTGCTTACGTGTTGTAGTCATTACAATCGGTAAAGATATTAGACATTAATAGCATTAACTCTTGATAATTGTCTAAGTTTGATAGTTAACTTAACCAAAGTTAAGTTTTCCAAACAAGATTCTTGTACAACTTTCATTAAATAGGCTTATTGAGTGAGGAAGGACAGGTTACAGGAACTTCAGCAACTGAGTTCTTACTCATATAGAACTTGAATAATATCTTAGTGTGAAAGCTGATACTGTTTCCTCTTAACAGATGTCCTGCGAGGAGGCAGAAAACCATATCTTTCCAGGTCATGGGAAACCTGGCAACTGCCTGTTTATCAAACCATCTCCTTAATCTTTTTCAACCTCTGAACTAATGCGTATAATAGGTTGCACCGCTGAATATATCCCCTCCTACTTGGGTTTTTGTCAAGGGGAAAAAAATTATATAAAACTAGTGATAATCTCAAACTAGGAGGAAGATACTCAATGGAAAGCTTTCCTGCTGTAAAACTCATCCTGCTACCTATCCACAAGTATTTCTGAAATAAAGCAAAAAAAAAAAAGTGCAGAGTAAGGAATTATTCCCTCTGATTTACTTTCATGAAGATAATTTTAACTGATTGTTGACATTATCAGTTTTCAAAATAGTCTCTGATTGGATGCATACGTACATACTCTTTAAACTTTCAAAATCAAGAATGTTGTGGGAAAAGTGGGAGTGTATGTGAAAGGCAGAGGAAGAAATAATGGAACAAGCAATGAATAAATATTGAATTGTTCTACAGTGACTAGTTGTGTAACATGTTTTCAGTTATTGGGGTTATAAATTCAAATATGAAAGCTAAATATTCTGCAGTCTGCAATTTCCTGTTTATTCAACATAAGAAACAAAACCTGAAAGTGGGAGCTTTGGATGTACTGGGAATTACATTTTTGGACTATAACCTCCATCCACTTCTGCTGTTCTGTTTGGAAACATCAGTCTTGGGAAACAAACAGAAGTTGAAGAATTGCTAAGTTTGCTGGGAAGTTCCAAAGTTTGTATGAATAAGTAGAGTTCACATAAAAAATAAATTCAACTGAAGTCAAAGGAACTAAAAACATTTTGCTTTTTCTCGGAGAGAACAAACGCAGTAATGTAGCACAGTGACAGAAACTGCAGGATTCCATTCACAGTTCAACTGCCCAAGTACTTACGAAATTTGGAGATAAATTATGCTTATAAAGTTGAAGAGTGGAATGAAGCAGGTTGGAGACAAGGTTAGAGACTAGTACATCTTTCCCAAGTTTGTTGTCAATGATTCGTCTCTGGCTACTGGCCACTTGCACTGTCCATTTATCAGTATCTGCGATAATGCAGACAGCTTCTGCAATTGGTTCATCCAGAACAGGATGCTACAAGTCAAAGAGATACATGCCATTTAACAAATGTGACTTTGGTATTAAAGATATTATAGCCATCAACCAATGGTGCAGGAGAACTTTTTGTCAGTAAACTTGATTTGAGAATGAAAATCTCAAAATAATTTAGCATCAGACGTCAAACAATGTATCAGCAACAATAGAGATCCAGTGTTTGGGGGAAAGCTGCAATTCCATGAAAGGCAATATATAATCTAATGAAACAAACAAACTCTTAGTGTATTCACTGTAGTCAAGCCATAGGATATAACGTAACCAACTACAAAAATCAGCCACACGTTTGAAGAACAGGTTGTGATATGGCAGAGGATCACATACAAGCTCTGAAATTTATTTAAGTTTCTCTTTATCTTCCTTTGCACTTTTGTGCAAGAGTGCTTCAGTTTACACCCACTAAATTGATGTAAATCAAAGCACCTTAAAATGGTTCTATCTTTTTTTAATTTTGCAAATGAAGTTGCCTAAGGATGTCATCTTCCAATTCATATTGAAAAATTGTGAAGTTGTAGCCACAAGCCTACCTTAGGCACAAACACCAGCAGAGGGAGCAAAAGAGAAGCACTTGTAAAATAACGAGTTTGAAGTAGCTCTGAAACAGATCAAATGTATCCAAGTTGTTTACATTTGAACCAGAAAAGCCTAAATGATTGAGGCCCTCAAATCACCAATATTATATCCGCTCTCTCGCACTGTTACGTATGGAAATATATGTCCATGTATATGGGGTCTATATACAGTATATTGTCTCATCGTCCTTGGTCATTTTTGATGTTGGAAATTATAAAGGTAGTCCTCAACTTACAACAGTTCGTTTAGTGACTGTTCAAAGTTGCAACGGCACTGAAAAAAGTGACTTGACTTGACTTTTCACACTTACGATCACTGCAGCATCCCCATGGTCATATGATCAGAATTCAGACACTTGTCAACTTACTCATATTTATGACAGCTGCAGAGACCGGGGGGGGGGGAAGGGGTCATGTGATCCCCTTTTGTGACCTTCTGACAAGCAAAGTCAATGGGGAAGCCAGATTCACTTAACAACTGGTTCACTAACTTAACAACTGCAGTGATTCCCTTAACAACTGTGCGAGATAGGTTGTAAAATGGGGCAAAATTCACTTAACAAATGTCTCGCTTAACAACAGAAATTCTGGGCTCAGTTGTGGTCATAAGTCGAGGACTACCTGTAGTCTGAGAAAAAAAGTATTCCTTTTTTTTTGTTTGAAAATAAATAGAAAACGTCCATTTCAAATCACAAGCCAGAGGAGAGAATGATGACTTATACTTCCTGAGTAATTTTAATCTTTAGGCCGCTACTGCACAGGAAGTTGTTGGACAAAAATACAACCAGCTGCTAACCTTACAAAGCCATGGCACATGTAAAGTTAATTTTAAGGTCATATTTAATGTATATGTTCTTGTTCATAGTTCATTGCTACTTGTCTACATTAGTAACAGCAACACCCTATTACACTTTTTAGTGCCAACAAGAAGTGGAAAAACTTAAATAATAATTAAAAACATAAATGCTCCCTTTGTAGATCAGATTACGAATCCTATTCATGTAGAATTCAGTTTAAACAAGGGGCCAACCAGACGCCTCTAAAAACCTTCCAAGCAGGACATGAAGATGAGTTCTTTACCACTAATACCTATTACTCAAACATAAACATTTAATCAATGGTTACATAAATATTATCACTAAATAGTGAATGAAATAAGATGAACCTTCAAATTTGAGAATTAAATGTGACCTCAAGCAAGAGAACATCCAAAGATTCTCAGCCAAAGCTTCTTAGCCCATACTGAACAGGTCTTTCATTTTTTTATGAAATGATAAGAATCTTTTCTGAATGAGATCATGAAAATTGAAGGAAAAAAAACAAACCTCCACGCCTGCTCTAGCAAGCTTCAGAAATATTTCTTTTTGTTGGCTATTGAGATATATTTCATCTGTTGAATATAGTTTAAATTACCTGCACAGCATGCGACAAATCTGACATCAAACAGTGTCTCAGTTTCTCATCATTTCCTAGTCCTTGCAAAACAAAGTCAGGTACGTAAGATGGACAGTAGCCACCTAGCAAGGACCTTCCAAAATTGGCAATACTGGGCTGGACAGAGTTCACTTCAATTAATTTTGACCTGAAAAAAAGGTATAACATGGGCATATATACTATAACTAGCACTGATTTCTCTCTACTTCACCGAAACACTACAGTGGGCAACTCTTGTATTAATGCCACCAAAATTTCACTGATTTCAGTGGGACTTACTTATATATAAGCTCCTATACAGCTTATGTCCTGTTATACTATACTCTCTCTCTAAGGTTCCTAGGACCCACCTTAAAACTCCTTACCTGGAAAAACACCTGGAAAATTCTGATCATTTTTTATGCAGTTAAGATTATTACATTTTAATAATGACTGTGTTTCCTTGAACATAGCTCAATTTCATAGTACTGCCTGTAAAATTAGACATACTACAACTGTCTACCAATGAATCCTCCACCATGTTATATTCTTATTCTGTTTTGTATTTTAATCTTATTTTAACATCTTTGTTTTCAACTGTGGTTTGTGACCATAATAAAGTCTGTCTATCATGTATAAGCATATGATGAATTTTAGTGCAAATTGGGTCATCTTCACTGTTGATCAAGGTTAGAATATGGAGTAAAGAAACTTCCAGTTGGATCATAGAATAGACATGAAGAAGCTATATAAACTAATGCTGGTTAATAATAGTCATAATATTTTTTTAAACAACCATCTTTCTTTAAAAAACCTATCCTAAATTAGGGTTATGCTACATACTACATATACTACACGAAGTAAGAAAGGTAATTAGATACTCTTTCAAATTGCAGCCTCAGTGAAATAAATATTATTTGCATTACTGCATTTCTTAAAGTAATATCAGGAAAGAAACCCAGTTAAAATAATTAAATACATAATATTTTCTCCATAGAGTATGTGTTTAACCATTACACACATACGCCTACAAGTCTGGCTACTATCTTCAAGACCACTATTTGGGAGGAATGTAGCAAATCAGTGTAGAGGGAAGAGGGAATGGCCTTGAGGAAAAGGAGGAAAAGTCACTACCATGATAATAGTCAGATAAAAGAGGGTCAGCCCAAGACAGATAGTAACTTGAGGAGACATCTCAGACAAGACTCTCCCTAGTTCTCACAAAGATAAAAGGAAGGGAGGGATGGGGCAGCACATTCAGATTTGCAAGATTCTGTTCTTATTATCTATACAATAAAAATATTGGCCTACAAGACTTTGGTTTCCTCGTTTGGTCTACTTTGAAGAGCTGACAATCATTCAGATTTAAGAAAATGTAAGTTGCTACAAGAAACACGTACCCAGGAAATGGTATATCCTCTTCTTCTGCCCATTCTTCTTGCTCTGCCCCATAATAATTGCTGCTTGTCCTTGCAGCATCATGAGCTGCATCTTCACTTTCACTGTCACCGAGAGCACTATCAGAACTCTCATTTCTTGGAATGTCCCAATCCACACCTGGATCAGATTTTTTTTCTAAGTTCTCTCTTTCCCCATGGGGGATAAACATGGAGAGTTTTTCTCTTTGGTCCTGTTCTGCAAAACAGTTTTTACAAGTCTCTTGACGAACAGATTCCATAAACTTACAAAATTCACTAGGGGATTTATTATTCTTTGTACACAAAGTTTTGGGTGGAAATTCTAAGCTACTATTAGAGTCTAGAATGTCTCTTGCTGTTTTCACTGGAATATCATCTATAGTCCTAGTTACAACAGAATCTTCTTCAATAAAATATTCGGTAAGCAAATTTGCACTTTCCGCTCTGTAAGAATTCCAATTCTGGACCTCAATGGTAACCTGAGGGAACTTTTCGGGCGTATTCTGATCTCTTTTTTGGTCCTCAAGGGTTTGTTTTTCACAGTTCTGCTCAGCAGTTGTTCCTTCTTTGATCTCCCTATGGCTGCTGTGCCTGGTCATTTGTTCTTCAGCCATTTGACTTCGCACCTCAATATCTGAATCAGGGGACATAGAATCTCCAATGAGGAAAGTCACCTTTGCTTGAACTTCAGCCACACTACAAGGAATTGCATGAGATGACATTTTATCAGGTGGTTTCTTCTCTATCATTGTACTTGTTGATCTCAACAGTTCAACAGGCTGATTGTCAGAATCTATCAATTCTCTGTTCTCCCACAATCCATCAGCCGGTTCTAATCTGGACTCTGGCAACACACATGTTTCCACAGAAGCTGATCCTGTGAAGACTACTCTTTCTAACTTTATTCCTGCGCAAGGCATTGGTGTTTCTTTGCACTTAACTTCAACAGACTTTTCTTGAGAATTAGAAGGCTCCACACTGCTTTCACATGAAGCAGCTTTATCCATTTTGGGGGTGTTCTGTGAATCTTCTTTCTCCAGTCCTGAAGCAGTATCTGCACTTTGACTAGGATTAACAGGGCATTTGCAATGTTTACAACTGCAGTCAGAAGTTCTCAATTCTTCGGACTCTTGAAAAGATAGATTGCTTCTGTTCTTGTGCATTGTGACGAGCACATATTCAGATTCCTCCACCTCTCCTTTTGCTAGTGTTGTGGTGATGACTGTACCGGGCATCACTATGGCTTCATCCTCACCATTTTCCAAAAGATGAGTCTCTTGCAACTCAGAGCATCTTATGAAGTAAGTAAGGAAATAAAGTAAGCGTTGCACAAGATCTTGCCTTTTGCCAACCACAACTGTTTTTGATAGTCTCACGGGTGATCCAATGGCTCCATAGAGATCTCCTGTGAAGCAGAATATAAAAGCAGTATGTTGTTATTTCAGTATAGAATGCAACGTCTTGAATTATAATAGAGATCTTCTGTATAGATTAAGAGTGGACTAAGAGTGCAGGGAAGAGAAAGAGAGAGAGAGAGAGAGAGAGATTCTTACTGCTATCTTTTTCCATTAATAGTTGGCAGAATCATTTTAAAAATAGTCATTACAACTGGACTCTAATTTTTAGTTTCTAAAACAATCACTCCTTATGCATTACTCTCCTTTATACACTATATCATTACATTTAACTAGATATAATATTACATTTTCTCTATGGATTTTAATAGAGTCTCTTTTTGTGAAAAGAGTGGCTATACAAATTTGATAAATAATTAATAATTCTGTACTTTAGGTCAATAATTTTGTTATTATTATTTTATTATTACTGTTCTATAAAATCATTTAATTGTTTTATTCCAATTGTATACTGCCTTACAATATTAATTTTTGCACCCAAACTTAAATTTATAATGCTAATAAATCTGATATAAGTAATAATAATTTATTAACCTGACTCCCAGTGTCTCTATCAGTTGTTTTATTCTAGTCAGTTTCCATTGTGTAAAGCAGACATGTCAAACTCGGGACGTCACATGACGCCGCACAACGTATCAGGACAGTTTTGCCATTGCGGGCAATGGGATGGGTGTGCTTCCGGATGACGCATCCAGCCCGCGGGCCGGCAGTTTGACACCCCTGGTAAAAAGGCTGCATTCGCCTCAAGAACAAGAATACCAAAACATAATACTGAAGACAGTATAAACTTTGAAATATAGGAGCTCATTTTGACAATCACTACAGATATGGCCCAGACATAATAATAAAAAAAAATGGGCAGTTGTGTTGATACTTTGCATATAAAAATCTCACAAAACATGAATTGCTTAATGCATAATAATGCCCAATCCATTAGGATCCACTGGATAAAATTCCAGAGTTTTGAACTCCAGAATTCCTAATTTACCATACTGCTATTTCTGAATAAATATGCATAGAATCAGGCTGTAAGAACCTTGACTAACAAACTTGGAAGTAGAATTATACCATAAATTAAACTTCATTTTAGGGGAACACGAAGGAAAGAAGCAAGACAAATAAATGGTACCACGGGGGAGATAGGAGAAAAACAACTGTTAATTGAAAGTTTTAATATATTTTGCTTTATCTAACTGAGAATTGTTACACTGCTTTTTTTCTTTTTCTTTAAAAAATACAGTTTTCTGTTTTTAGCAATCAGGAATTAAACAGCTTAGCAAACGGATATTTTGTTCATGGAAGAAATATACTGAGGTAGTTTAAAACATACCTAATTGTGCCCACAGTGGATTGTATGGGTGACTCTTTGCCAACAAGTCCACTGTCTGTGAGGAATGCTTCTCTAGAAATATTCGAATTGGTGGCTGGCCATTTGGCATGACAGTTGGAACCCAGGCCAGATGGTTTGTCAAAACTGCAGTTAGAAGAGCAGGTAAAAATCTGGATGGGGGAAAAAAAAAGGCACGCACTTTAGAAACTGAAGAAAACAACTGTACAGAATTTTGGATGAATTTACTTCTATTAAAGGAAGCCTGTAATACACAATGTCCCTTACTGTAAGAGAGAATTCAATTAACATTTCCAGATCTGGGAACAGAGTCTAAGGTACTTCCAAAACTCTTAACATAGTATCATATTGTTGTTTCTGTTTCAAAAACGGTACATCAAGAAACAGAATGCAGATGCTGTGTCCTTTTTTTTTATTCTATAATGTCAGCTTGTTGTAAGAAACTAAAACGTGTAATGCTAATAATTTTTAAAGGCAACTAGAATTTCAAATGTACTTTTTTGTTCTTTTCTGGAAGAGAAGATGTATCAGAACTTTAAAAGGACTTTTGGCTTGGCCTACATCACACTGGGCTCTCAAGTAGCACAGGAGGATCTTCAGTCAGTCACGCCTTGGTTACCTCTTGACTGGATTATTTTAACTTCCTTGCTACTTCTCAAGCTGCACTAGCTGACATCTGGCATCCTGGTGCAATTCAAGATCTTGATTATTGCCCCTAAAATCTTGCATGGGCCTGGTTATGAGAGAACTGCCTCTATCCATATGTCTCTTGGTCTCATTAATTAAACAGTATCATTATAGGGAATCTCAGAAGCATGCCTTCTTGGTGATAGTTCCTGCCCTGTGGAATGATATCCAGCTTCATCCCGAGATTTGAACTGCTCCCATCTTTTTGACTTTCTACAAATCTGATTGTTTTCCCAGGCCTTGGTTTAAGATTGTGCTTGTTTTGCTGTTTGGTTCTTCGGGTTTTGTCCCTGGTCAGTTGTCTTCTTTTTTCTTGATCTTAATTTTTTATCGGTAAGCCACCCACAGTTGCTTGGGTGACTTCAAAATTGAATTAATAAGTAAATAAATAATATTCTTAAAGAAGCTTTGAAATCTAGATACAATACACCAGCCCGCGGGCCAGTTTCATCATACCGGAGCTGCGCCCACCCCATTGCCGGCAATGGCGAAAAAGCTCCAATATGTCGTGTGACATCACATGACGTCGCGAGTTTGACATGCCTGCAATACACCATGGAATTGCATTAATTCAGCTGTGAGTCCTTTGATTTAGGCAAATTCAAGAAACATGGAAGGCAGGAATTTCAGGAATCTTCTCTATTGTTGGAGGATATAATAAAATCTTGAAAGTAGATCAAGATGGATTTTCTCTATGCCCCATGTTATACCAAACAAAATCATAGTTTTTATTTAGCTATGTTAAAATCATAACATAGTTTATTTTGACTTCTTTTCTTGTGGTTTCTTCTTTCTCATGCCTGAGTAATTTTTTTTTAAAGTTCCCCCTTAACAGTTTGCTCTTTTCTTCACCATTCCCAAGGCCAAGTCTACATTCCTTTCCCCCAGCTAAGAAAACGTAGTTAACATATGATATTGGGCAGCTGGTAGCTTTCCAGCATCTGGTTACTGAGCACTTTGGAGATTGTATGGTTTGGCAGTTCATCTTAAGTTTTCCTTCCTGTTTATGCAAATCTTTATTCTTTCAGTCAGCCAGCAGGTCTCATTGGCTAAAATCTTTTACAGCAACATTAACTTTTTTTTTTTAAGAAACAGAATTGAAACGTAACTTAAAGAGGCTGAAAAAAGACTTAAAAATATTCATAAATTGTGTTTCAAGTTATTGGTGGCTGTCAGGGTTATATAATAGTATCATTATTAAGCAACTGTTTTCTGTTTCAATTTTTTGTTGTTTTAATGGTAGTTTTTGGTTTAGAATTGAAAATTAGGCTATACTTAATAAAGGTTTCTAAATGTTGACTTAGCAGTTTAAATTTGGCTTCAAAGAGAAAATTGAAATTAGTTATCAACTAAGGTAACTTTCTTTTAGGTTTCTACCCTTCACTGTCACTTGAAGGTACATTTTTAGATTCTGATAAATAGCATCCTTTTCCTTTATGGGTTTGAGGCATTTTATGAGGGGAAAAAAAGACACTGTTACGCATATCATCCTTAATAAACTGCTACAAGATTTAAAAAAGCAAAATAATAATAATATTAATATAGGAATGCTTTACTGGTTCTTGGAAGCCTGTTCCATTAGGAAAGTAAATTCCTTCATAAAGTGATGGCACAGCTGGTTCTTCTCGGGCATCCCCGACATCATCGTAAGCCAAACTGGTTCTGTAATCCGTGGCATAGTATAGAGATTGCAAATTGTTGTTCTAAACGGCAAAAAACGCAAGATTACGTTACCAACATCTTACATCACATGGCTCAAAGAGGCATTTTATATAGAGGCAAACTGTCATTTTTTTTTTATTTTTTAGTCCCAGTCCTGAGAAACCTCACCTCCCTGCTTTCAGCATCTCCTGCATACTGAGGATACTAGAGCACCCCATTCAACCTTAGAACCGCGTCTTCTAGCCAGCTTTATATCTCCAAGTGCTTCTCTGATATTTCTGTCTGGATGCCTCATTGTCATCTCAAGCTCAGTATGTCAAAGACTGAACTTCTCATCTTTCCCTTCTCTACTCATTCCATCTCCTTATCCATGTCTTTCAACTTGCCACTAATATTTAGTTGAATGATGACCAGATAGCATGACTTCAAAGTAATTTATATTAAGATTTTTTTCTTTTTCTTTTTTACAGTATAAGCCTTTTAAGAGCAACTTAATGGTAAGCAACTTATAACCATTTACTGTAGAACATCTTCCTTTTCAAGAATCTAAATGAGATTATTTAAAATATGTTAAAATATGTTAATCATCTATAACAGTGTTTCTCAACCTTTACAATTTTAAGGCATGTGGACTTCAATTCCCAGAATTCCACAGCCAGCAATGCTGGCTGTGGAATTCTGGGAGTTGAAGTCCACATGCCTTAAAATTGTCAAGGTTGAGAAACACTGATCTATAACCATATTAAATATAAAACATGAACACTGTAACTACATTAATCAATTAACCATGTATGAGTACAAGTACAAATATATTATTAGTAGCATTTAATATGACTTCCTATATAATGACACAATGAAGTGATACTTTTTGTCTTTATACTGAGTATTTGTGTAAGTGGTCACATATGAAAAAAATGGATCAAACGAGACTCAAAGCAAGCAAGAAAGGAAAATACATTTCTTCTAGATCTCAGCTTATGCAATATATGGAGAATACCTTCAAAGAAGAAACAAGACAAGGTATCTCAAACAAGTGAAAGTCCCTATGTAAACTAAGTGAAACAATGGCACACCAACAGAAAGGTACAAGGATGTAGCGTATGAGAAATGAGAAAAAAGGTTATAAAAATGTATAGATTTAAAACAAGGTACAGTGCATGGTAGACATCCCAATTCAATTATTATAGAATCCAGTCCTAGACTTGACTACCTAGACCTAGAGTTGGATAGATATGCACAGTTATATGAATGTGCAAGTAAGTAGAGTTTTTCATTCACAAAGTGAACAACAGAAATTGTAAAGCTGAGTTTCAACGTGTTCTGAGATTTGGGATTAAAAAAAAAAAGAATAAGTAACACTGGAGAAATTCTAAAGATCTTTATAGTAGTGTGACTGCTCATCTTGAACAAACAACTCTGTTCCAATGGACTCAATAGAGATTTTCTTTGTATTATTATGTAGTTATTGGTTCAACTTAACAAGTTTTTGTCTATTGTTGCATCTTATTTAAGCAGTAAATAAATACAGTTTACACACAGTATCAGATGCTGTCAGTAAATTTAAAAGCTACAGACAAGTTTAGATGTGCCTTCAATATTTTATCATCATTATCATAACATTCATCATGTCTATGGAGATTCTCAGTCACCCAGGTCTTAGTTGTCCCAGAAATGCTTTTTCACGAGGCAACTGGACTTTCTCATGAAAAAGCATCTTTAGGATAACATTCATCATTTCTGCGATGTTTATCAATATTATATTTCATGTTGTTTTTCATGGCCATGTTAGTTGGAAATACAGGGAGTTGAATTCCAACATATCTGCAGAACACTAAGCTAAACGAAAGCTACTCTACTATGATTAAAATAACTTATTCATCATCAAACTAACTGCTTATTCTTTTCCTGTTCACCTTATGTGTTTTCCTTTCTTGTTTAATTTTTTCCCCTGTTGCATCTATTTTCAGGATGTTGCTCACCTGGGGCAGGGTTTATCATATTTAGACAGCATCATGTAAATAAATCAATAAAAACAACTTTTCTGTTTAACAAATTCATGTAAAATGAAACCAATACACAGGAGGATAGAAAATCATTCTGCAGACAAGAGGATACTGTTTGCAAATCTACAAATCCAAGAAAAAAACAATCCCAAAAACGGAATACAATTAGCATAATTACTGTTCCGTACTTTTAAAATCACACAATCTCTCAAGCTTTATTTATTTCATTTTTCCTGTTACCACCACATGCAGTTTAGAAACTGCCACAGTGACCTGTTTGAAGTTCCCTTGCCAAATACTAATGCAGTTTTCCATCATCCTTAATGATTTCTGAAAAAGTGTGTGTGGGTTCCATGAGCTCTGTACTATCCAACCTAGAATTCTTTAAATAAGAAACTGAGGGTTTCTCACAGAAAAAATAGATTACAACAAAACCTAGCAAAACTGGTAAATTGTTTAGTCTTAACAATAGCAATGTGATTCAAACTAAGCCCATGTAAAAGAGAATTAATATTAGCAATTCTAAAAGGTCCTGGAGGTTATGAAGGTTTAGAAGACATAAAGAAACTGTTCATCATTAGAAGGTGTTCTCCAAGATAAATTGGCAAGGGCTAATATAGGTGGTCCTCAATTTACAATAGTTTGTTCAAAGTTACAACAGCACTGAAAAAAGTGACTTATGACTGTGTTTCACACTTATGACCATTGCAGCATCCACATGGGCACATGATCAGAATTCAGATGCTTGGTGACTGACTCATAATTATGATGGTTGCAGTGTCCCAGGGTCAAGTGATTACCTTTTGCAACTTTCTAACAAGCAAAGTCAATGGGGAAGCCAGATGTCAACACTGCTAACATCGGTTGTTCTTGCTTTGACAATATACAAAGATGCAGCCATTTTCTCTTTAACCTGTGTATTATTTTTAGAGTTAGAATTAGATGGTGCTGGAGGGGAGGGGAAGCATGTGCATGGGGATTAGTTAGACATAACAATATCTCAGTAGAGAAAATAAGAAATGGTGGGTTATGGAATGGGAGGGAAAGTTCACACTTCAAACTAATTGGAACTAATTGGAGAATGTGATTAATGACTGTTAAATGGAGGAGTTATGCTTCGATACTATGTATTTAGGGGAGGAGAATTCAGATTTTGGCTTGCCTATGTAGGTGCCGAAGTTATGTTGCTTAATTAAAGATTCTTTAAGGCAAACAATGCCTCAAAGTTCTTTGAAGATTTTCATCTTTTGGAACCATGACACCAGATTCACTTAACAGCCGTATTACTAACTTAACAACTGCAGCAATTCACTTAACAACTGTGGTGAGAAAGGTCATGAAATAGGGCAAAACTCACTTAATTGTTTCACTTAGCAACAGAAATTTTGAGCTCACGTGCTCATAAGTCAAGGATTACTTATAGAAAGTTATTCTGTAGTATTTTTTCCTATGAAGCACAAGTTTACTCTTTGATTACCAAAGCCTCAGAATTGGAGAATTCTGGGAGTTGGTCCACATATCCTTATGAGGCCAAGTTTGGGAAATACTGATCTAGACTCACAGTTAAAAATATAAATCAGAAGAAAACTACAGTTCTCTCAGAGTGACTTTCATTCCTTTGGCTTTCCTTCACTGCAACCCAGATCTGCCATCCATCCGTCAAAATTCCCACCACCACCACCAAATAAAATAAAATATAATAAAATGCTTGAAGTGGAAGCTGTTAACTTGCAAAACAGCAAATCAGCCCATTCTGCAAAGCTGAGGTGGAATTCAAAGTTCAAACCAGCCTCCTGGGTCCCATTTCAGCACATTCAAACCCCAAAGCAAGCTTTCAGAAAGCTTCCTCAGTCTGAATAGTCCATAGGTACTTCGAGGGCGGGAGAGAAACAGGAGGAGAAAGCAGAGTTTCTGTTTTAAGCCAGAGATATTAAACGATTTGTTTTCGTTGAAAGGCTAGCTCCAGTCTTGTGACTCCTTATTTACTATTCTGGTAACTGTGGCTGCATCTGCAACTGATAGTGTTTCCTCAGAGAGATCAGATTCCGCTGGCCGCTCGCCAGCAGGCATGTGACTGCAGCGAAGGGAACCCTCCGTGCCAGATATAGAAGCAATTTGCACAAAACACTAGGCAGAGGATTAACTGGCCAAGGGCGGGTGGACAATCTGGCTTGCATTTCTTCCTGGCTCTTTCAGGATAGGAGAGTGGCAGGCATCAATTCCTTCCTCCTCAAACAGCATTACAGGGCACAGCCAGAGATTATGTAAGGGCGAAAGCACGTCACAGACTGTTTCAATTATTTCTTTACATTTGCATCTTAACAGTCTCTGGGAAATCTCTTTGCCTCTTTTTCTGAGGAAGGTCCAATCAAGGCAGGGTGGCCACTACTCGGAAGAGAGTGGGTGTGGTGGGGACACGGTCACCGCTGGAAAAAGGAACCTACACACACCCAAGAAGAGGAACTGGGATGAAAGGACAAAGGCTAATTGTAGAAGCATACATGTATGTGTATAAGTCTAAGCCTACCTATTGTTAATGGTGGTGACTTGTAGGGCAGCTTAATCACTTGTCCAGGTGTTGATTAGTGGAAAGCAAAGTCAAGGCCCTTGGAGTTTCTTCTTTTGGTTCCTCAGGACTATATAGTTTTAGACCAGAAAGAAACCATTCCTGCCCCCCCCCCCACACTATTATGATAATTATAATTCATGTATAATTAAAAGGGATAGGGTGGAGGCATCCCCATACTGCTCATTATATAATCACACCATGCAGACTGGATGTTCACAATCTAGCCGAGCTGATTTTTGTAGAGAAAATCCTCTCAGAAGATAAAGCTCAGAGCTTATGGCTGTACTCTGCTTAAAAACTCTGGTACTCCCGACCTTTCCCACAGTTGATAGGACAACATCTCCTCGTTATGAAGGAAGTGGGAGTGGGGTTGTAGCAGGGCTTTTACATTTCTACGCTGGGTTTTTCAAAAATTATGGCCTTAACTCAGCATCCCAGCTCAGACTCCTCTGGAGGTATTGGAAGATAA